TATTCTTAAGTATGTCTCTCAAAAAGGATACATGATTGGAATGTTTTCAGAACCCTTGCACACTTGAGAATGTCTTTTGTTTATCATGTCCAGCATACATACAAGACAGTCCAGCTAGGTATAAAATTCTTGGGTCACAAACTTTTTCCTCTTCAGGACCCATAGACATTGTGCCATAGTCATCAGGCCAACCTCTGCTTCTTGATTTTTAATCTGTATGTATTGTTTCCTCATCTTGATATTTCATATGTTTTGCAAAGATATGTCTAGGTGTTGGTGTCTTTTCCTTGATGAAAAACAAATCAATGAGCCCTTTCCTTTGACATACGTAGGTCTGTCTTTAGCTCGGGAATCCTATCATTGATTGTTTCTATTCCACTTGGCCTCCACTGTAGTTCTCTTCCAATTATATGCCACCTCACCACTCTTCCCCTATTCCCTTATCATTTTCTCGTTCATAGTTTGTATGTCTCTATCCTTTTCCTCTATATTTTAGGAGAACTTCTCCAATTCATTCTCCATTTTCTGAATCAGTGTTCTACAGTACCATTTTTCTTTACTGCTTCCAGAGTGGGTTTTAATTGTGCTGGGCTTTTAGGTTTTTGTTTTTTTTCAGCTCTTTTATCTCTCCTACGTCGCTCTTTATGTGTCATCATATGGCCTTTTCAGATTTGCGTAGTCTTCCTTTATGGCTTTCTTCTCCTAATTCATAGAGGATGTGTCTTTTTAGAATTCTTTTAGTCTGCCATACTCCTTCGGTTACATATTTTCTATGACTGTTTTCCAGCTATGGCGACAGAATTTGAAGAGTTGTGATTGAGACCGTATGGCCTGCAAAGCCTAAAATATTTACTTTTGGCACTTTGCAACAACAAAAAAAAAATTTCACAGATCCCTGTACTAGCATGACAGCTGGATTCCTGTTTAGCTCCAAGAGGGATGGCAGGGGACTGTTCCTCATTCTTACTGGCCTTTCCCCTCGGTTCACTCCTGCTCTGTGGAGTTGGCATTCTTCTGTCTCCTCGGCCGATTTTCTCAGTCTCTGCATCGATAACTTGGATAAAAATGCAGGTTCAGATGCCTCCTGCAAACACCGTCCTTCCATCCTTCCAGTCCCTACCCTTCCTTAAGCTTTCCCTCCCTGAAGGAGGCCACTGTCACCAGGCCCCACCCACTTCCTGCCCATTTGTTTTCTGGTTGTTGTTTCTCTGTCATTTTTCCTTTTTTTTTTTTTTTTTTAAGGATCTTTCTGTTCATCAGACAAAGAACTGTGTCCGGAGGTAAAACCTGGACAGGTTTAGCTTGTTCCACCACCATCTGCCTTTAATTAATAGAGATTGCTCCCAGATTCCAGCATTGGGTCATCTATCAGTTTCGTTTCTGGCATTAGTGTGAATTTTTTTTTTCATTGTCTTTATAGCTATTTTGGAACAAAACAAGGAGGGGCTCCATGGGTGACTGCCAGGTAGATGCCATTTTGAGGGGGTCGGAGCTGCGTTTTCAAGCTGGGTTGTCCATCTCGAAGCCGTCTCCCCGGCTTAGTGCGCACGTGATCACAGAAGACAAGGCAGGGACGTTTTCCTTACCCAGGGACCACTTGCCCAATGACCTCAGTCCTCTGGAATCCAGCCCACGCGGAGAGCCCCCAGAGCCAGGGAGCGGCCACGGTGTCCGCGCCCCGGCGGTCACTCGCTTCACCCGCAGGAGAGCAGCGCGTGTCCTCGTCCAGCCCCGTGTGCCCATGCTTTACACACAGCCCGGCAAGCTGGGGGTGGCTTCCTGTTTCCTTAGCTCACAACTAAATTGGAAGCAGCGAATAGGACCCCCTCCCCCCCGCCCCCGCCTGCCCCTGACACACACACACATACACACACACACAACTGCACACGTTCAGAGGCTGGCTCCGTGTCCTGCAGGAGCCTGAGTGTCGCCGTGTGAGCACCCGTCTCCCACACTCACCTGGCTGGCCTTCCCCTGCCCAGCTGGGTGCTCTGTGCAAGTGCTGGGTGTGGGGACTCCCTCCCCTCCTCCACAGCTACACCTGATCCAGACCGTGGCTTCTAACCCTGGCTGCACATTAGAATCACCAGGGAACTCTATGAGCCTGGACACTCAGGGCTGCCCCCTGTACCAGTGACGTCAGAATGTCTCGGGGTGGGACTCAGGCATCGTGTGTTTTTACAGCTTCTGGGTGATGCCACTGTGTGGTCCAGGCTGGGAACCAGGGGTTGGGAGCACAGACTGCAGCTGGGACCTCCCATCTGTACGTGGGGCTGATGAGCAGGGCAGAGGGCCGTGTCTCGGGCCCCGTTGGTGCCGTGTGAGTGGCTGCCACTGCTGAGGCACAGACTGGATAGTTCCGGGGTGGCTGTGATTCGTCAAGCAGGGTCCGGAGCTCCAGCTAACTAGGCAGTGATGGCGGCCACACATCCTAGTACACTTCCTGTCTCAGGTGGGTGCTTGGCTCTGAAAAGAGAAGCTGAAGATGAACCAGGAGGGAGTGATGAGAGGGAGGGAGGAGGTGAGAGCTGGAGGTGCAGGGCTAGGTTGTCCCAGGACTCAGCCACCTGCCCTTCTGCTCCGCAGGGCAGAGCTTACAGGGGCGGGCACCCGGGGACCTTTCCATCTCTAGTGTCCTGGTCTTTAAGGGGGGTTCGGTCCCTGCCTCACCGGTTGCTGTGAGGCTAATAGCGGACAGGCCTCAAGGCTCTCTCTGGACCCGCTGTCACCCTGGCTGAGACGCAGGATGTGCTGGACCCTGCAGAGGAGGCAGTGTGCCCGTTCCCTCCTGACCCGAGTGCAGCACGAACAGGGGCCAGTGACTTTCCTGAAAAATAACCAGAAAGCGACGAGAGTGGATTCAAGGCTGTCCCTGGAATGACGTCACCCGGCACCACTTACATTCCAATTCGCTTCCCTAAGTGGAGAGAGCAGGCGGGATCCCGGCCAGCGCACTCGGGACCACAAGGACTTACGCACGACCTGGGTTCAGCCGCAGCAGTGGCTTTGCTGTGAGCGTCATCTGGCCCTGAGCTGGCAGAGAGGGCTGTTCCCGGCAGTGAAGCGCCCTGACGGTGGTGGTGACGATGGTGGTGACGGCACTACTTCTCTGGTGCCCAGGTCGCCATCCCCTCTCAGCTCCCCCTCTCGGACTTGGCCATGGTAGATGCAGGCTGGGCTCTCAGGACACCCCAGGCCCTGCACCCCAGCAGGTTCTTCCTGCAGTAACCCGCCGGCCGTCCAGCGGGCGGAGGGACTGGTCCTGCGCCTCCGGTGTGCCTGGTCAGGGCATCCCAGGGCGGGGCCCAAGGCTCAGACCCAGGGGAGCTGGCAGGGGGGCTGTCTGTTCTCCATTCCTGAGACTGGTTTCTAACTGGGTGCCCAGGAAGCTGGCTCCGGAGGCATTAGGCAGCGGCCAGCTGTGACGCTCAGGGCAATGGGACGGAGCTGTTTCGACGTTATTTGAGGCCCCGTCCATGTATTGCAGGCCCTGAAGGAAGCAGCGACCTCCGATGGGGTCAGCGGCTGACTCTGGGGTGATCTCTGAATATCCCCTGCAGACTTCAGCCAAGGGTTGGGGCGTTGGGCACTGGAGGCCCAACTTCATGCCCTGGCTTTGTCCTGTGCTCCCAACCCAAGTCACTGCTTTCCCCTAACTTGGCCTCAGTTTCCCACTCCGCACAGTGAGGGGCTGGCCAGTCACTTACATGTCTGCGTGTGCGTGTGTGTCCCCTCCACCTTTTTAGTCACCCTCCCCAGGACACACACCCCACCCACTCCCAGCACCCCAGGCTGTCATCGCTCCTAGAACAAGGGGGCCTCCATGGCCCAGGCCGGCCTGGCTGCTCCCGCGGGCAGTCCAGGAGTTGCTGGAACACGGGCCACTCCTCGTCCCCAGCTCTGAGCCTGACATGCACGCCCACCGAGGGACTACCATGTTTACTGAGACCCAGCACGGCGTAAGCACGGGGACACTCATTTTGACGTCTCAGCCTCGGTTCTAGGTCCAGTCTTGGTGCTAGCTGTCTGGGATGCATTGGGCAGGCGGCCTCAGTTTTTGTATCTGCAGAATGGGAATAGCACCCACCCATCACAGAATGTTTGTGAGACTTGAATGGGATCCAACGTGTCAAGTAGTGGTGCCGGGAGGCCGGGATGAATCACTGGGCCTCTGTGGTGGACTGGGCGCCAGACGTGGACCTAGGGAAGGCATTGTACCACCTCAACTGCAGAGCAGCAGGAGCCCGCGGGGGCGGTGGGGGGGGGGCGTGCTGGGCGGGGGTTGGAGGTGTGCCTTGGGTGGGTTGCCACAGGCCACCCCCAGGAGAAGCAGACCTGATTTCTGGCCAGGCCCGGGGCCCTCCACATCCCGCCTGGCTCAGCTCGCACTCGACTGGGGGAGCCCCGAGGTGCTGCCCGGCGGCTGCAGCCAGGCCGCCCTGTGTCAGCAGTAGGGCCCATTAGAACTGAACCCTTCTTCGGGGGCATTCTATTTGCACACTCCAGTAGAGTGGACACCAAAGGGGTTTTCTAATACTTCACGGGCTGCTAATTTCCTCCGTGACCCCTTTTGTTGGGGCCTGACCCCAGCCAGAGGCTCCACGCCATGAAAGCCAGCGCCTGACACAGACCCGGGCGCGGGCGACAATGAGGCCTCTATCGGCTTTAATCAGGCTCCACTTGCGTCTCTGAGCCGGGGAATTTGTGTGGCTCAGAAACCCTGGGTGGTGCAAAGTGGGAGCCCCCAGCGTCCCTCCCGGAGGCCAAGGGGGCTGCAGGCAGCGGCTGAAGGATTCCTCAGGCTGGGGGGTAGGAGGGGTGAGGGGCCTTTGTCCCAAGCGCCTCTTTAGAGGCCAGGCCTGCCCTGAATGGCCGCAGCCCGGCCTGGCCCGGGGGTATCAGGGCCTCTGGGTATTTAGGGAGGGGGCCCCCGCCTCTCGCCCGAGGCCTGGTCAGCACCAGCCTAATTAGGTTTTGTTTGTGCTCTCCCTCCCCTGCAGACTGTGATTCCTACTGCAAGGCCTCCAAAGGGAAGCTGAAGATTAACATGAAAAAGTACTGCAAGAAGGACTATGGTGAGTGAGGCGGTGGGGCGGGCGTGGGACCCGCGAGGAGCGGGTGCCAGTGGCCCCGAGGGGGTGTGGGTGACGCAGTCCCTGTGACCGAGCAGGAGCCGAGCCGGACAGGTCCCACGCCCAGCACTTCTCATCCCCTCCACCTCGGTCCTAGGCGGCGAGGGCACCAGGGCCACAGGGCGTGAGGACCGGGGACCCCAGCCCTGCAGGGCGGTGTCCAGGCCAGCGGGGGGCGGCCTCGGACTCGTCCATTCTGTGCACATTCGGCCCGAGTCTCTGTTGCTCGAAGGGAGGTCCATGGTGCGTTTGAGATGCAGATTCCTGACGCCACCTCCTCTGGGGTTGACTTCAGAAGGCGCTGGGGTTGGGCCGGGGAACAGCGCGTTGTCACTCTGATCCACGGGAGTGTGAACACGGCCAACGGGAGCCGCGGGGCTGCCAGGCTGGGTGCCGCCTGCAGATTCCGTCACCTGAGCCCTCAGGCTCTCTAAGCTGGGGAGGGTCTCCTGTCCCCCTACTCTCATCGCGCACAGTTCTCCCCTCCCTGGGGACAGTGAGCCCCTGCCCCCTTTCCCCATGGAGCTCCCTTTCCTGCCTCCTTAAGCAGGAGGTGAGGCGGCGGCCTTGTGGTTCTGGGCCCTGAGAGAGTTCTCACTGGCCAGACACCATGTGACACAGGGGCACAGCCTGGCCTCGGTCCTGGTGGGCGGGAGACAGACAGGGAGCCTGCAGGAGGGGGAGGCCTTGTTGGCCACAGGTTGTGTGCAAAGAGCAGAGGGACAAGCAGACAGAAGTCGGAGAGTCATTCAGCCGCTGTCCCCTGGCAGGGCAGGAAGGCCCTGTGGAGACGGGTGTCCTCCTGGTCGCCCAGCCAGGACGTAGCACAGCCTAGAGGCAGGCCCCAGGGCTGGGAACCCAGGCCTGGCCCTTCCTGGGGGCTCCTCCTGGCCTGGGGGCCGGGGGCGAGCGCAGGCTGTCCTTGCAGGCCCCGCGCCCCTCACCATGCCTCCCCTGCCCTCCACCCCACCCCCGCTGCCCAGGACGGGGGGGCGGGGGGGGGGCTAGGTGGCCACGTGGGGAAAGGCTAGGCGGCCACGTGGGCCAGGTGTTTCCACGTTGGCTTGAAGCGCCCCTCAGTAGACGCTGGGGAGGGGCTGGGACAAGAGAGCTGAGCAGGCTTCCTATCAGGAGTTGACCACAGCTGGGTCTGTCTTTCACGTGAAAAAGGAAAAATTGGACTTTTGTTTAAAAGTTACCAAAACGGATCCCGTTTCCACCTGGTTCCGTTGGACTCCGTCCTGTTTTGTTCTCTCCTGACTCCTCGTCCTCCATGGAATTCCACCTTCACGCCCCTGCCATTCCCAGGGACACGGCCCCTCCGAGCTCTCCGGGCCTCCTCGCCCACCAGCTGGCAGCCTTTCTCTCTGGCCAAGGGGCCCAGTACCCTCTCTTCATAGACCTAAGGGTCCCCGGCCTGCCTGCGCCCTGTCCCCGCTGGGGCCTCCCTGGGGCACGGGCCCCACTCCTGCCGGTGGGGATGGGTGGGCACAGCCTCTGGCTTGCACTTGACCTCTGCTCCCTGACTCAGCCCTCGCCTTCCCCTCGCACCTGACACCCCCAGGGAGGATCAGGACGAAGCAGGGGTCAGAGGGGGCAGGCTTCAGTTCCCTGTTGCCCCAGGTGGGACCTGGCCAGCTGGGATACTGACTGACCAGTGGCAGCCCAGCCTCTGCTCCTCCCACAGGTCCTTCCCTGGGTCCCCCTCTGCTGCCCGCATTACGTTTAGCCCCAGGCCCCCATGCTCACCTTTCCAGACTTCATTGAGACCCCCCAACGCCCCCCAACCCCGCCCCCTCCCCCCGAGCCGCCAGCAGGACGTGAGGAGCAGCACATGCAGGGAGCTGACCAGGCCTGGAGCTCTGCAGGGAGCTGACCAGGCCTGGAGCTCTGACCTTTGCTTTAAAGCCTCCTAACCATGCCCTGCACTTCCCCTTCCATTCCCCGGACTGGCACTTCTCCCTTCCATTCCCCCCAAAACATTGGGGGGTTCTGTTCCCCAGGATTGTCCCTGATACTCTTGGGGTCCCCCACTCAGCTCAGCATCGAGGCCTGTGTGTGGAGAGGCAGGACCCGGAAGGATCAGGAGGGAGGTGCGGGGCTTCGGGTCGGTTTACAGAAGCCCCCCGGGGAGTGGGGAGGGCCTCAGGGAGGTTTCGGTGAGGAAGGTGTGAGTGGTACCTACGGGTCTGGGCACAGCAGGGGGCAGCCCCCCCCCCCCAGCTGCAGGCCTGGCTCTGAGGCTGGGGTGGATCCTTTTGGGACCCTGGACCCTGAAAGGAGTGTGAATAGGGGTGTCCCTCCCACCCCAGGAGCAGACCAGGGCCGGCCTCGGGATCAATGAGCAGGGAGAGGATGAGGGGGTGCTGGCCTGGGGCTGGGTGAGGAGGTGAGGCCAGGCAGGGAGACCAGGGCGGCGGGATTGTGGGGGGGGGGGTCGGAGAGGCGGAGAGGCCGTCCAGTGTCTGCCCTCTGACCGACACCCCGGCGGGGAGCCAATTAGGAAACACGGTTCCTTCACCTACAGACGGGCCCTGGGATGTTCCAGAAGCTGCTAATTAGAACCTTGGGTCTGCCGCCCCGCCCGCCCTGGGAGAAGAGCGGCCCCTCTGAGGCCAGCTCAGCGCTGGTGTTGCTGGTGCAGAACAAGGGTCCGCTGACCTGGGCAGCGGTCAGTGGGGCGCGAGGCTGGGGAAGCGGGCAGTGAGGCCGGGTGGGGTGTGCAGGTCCCACCCTGTGTCTCTGGGGCATGTTTGCCAGTGAGAGAGGGCCCAGCCTGGGGAGGGTTGGGGTGGGTGCCTGGCAGGGCAGGAGGGCATTGGGGTGGGGAGGTCTCAGGGCCAGGCCCCTCCATGCTTCTCACATTCACCCGAGAGACTGCAGGGCAGGGCGGCCGGTCCATTTCTTCTACAGGGAAAGGGCGCACAGGTTCCGGGTTTGCTCTGGGACTTGGGACCGGGAGCCACAAGCCTGGGCCTCAGTGGCCCCATCTGTCAAATGGAGGTGTGACCCAGGGCACCTGACAGCCTCTAGATGAGCCAGCCCGGCCCCACCCAGCCCCGTGCCATCTCCCCGGGCAGGTCCACGGTGACACTGTCCCCGCAGCCCCTCTCCTGGCCACCTCAGTCCTCTGATGCCCTCTAGGGGATCCGGCTCACCTTGCAAAGGCCCGCGAGAAAGCCGGTTGTTCACGGAAGACAGTTTTATTATTTCCAAGTGTCTCAGACGGTCCTGGCAGCTTTGCAGGAAGCCCAGCCTTGGAGGCCTGTCCTTGACGTAGCGTTGCCATGAGTGTGCGTGTGTGTGTGTGTGTCCGCCACAGTCTGTGCCCTGCGCCCTGTGCAGGCAGAGCGGAGCGCACCTGCTGGGGGCGCCGCTCTGTGTCCTGGGAGCCAGAGGAGTCCGGGCAGTGAGAGTGCCGGGTGCACCTTGTTCCCAAGCATCGGTTGTGCGAGGACGCTGACCAGGCCCGGCCAAGGGCTGGGCACCTCGGCTGGCATGGGAAACACCCCCTGTGCTCCCAGCCAACATGGCGACATGGCGTGGAAGGGGCAGAAGAGCACCCTCCCCCACCTGTGGGCCCAGGCTCCTCCTGACTCCTCCCAGGCCCTGCCCCTCAGCCTCCCGCCTGTCCCTTTCCCTCCGGCCTCAACTCCACCTTGTCCCTGTGCTCCCTGGGGGAGCCCCGTGTGGTCCTCTCACCTCCTCATGTTTGCACAACCTCCTCTCATCTCACACAGCCACTCTGCACAGGCACTCCCATGCACACACAAGCACACGCACACACATGCACACATACACATATGCACACACAGGCACAGCGGTGCATAACCGAAGGAGTCCTGCTCCCTCACACAGCCGTCCCCACCCCCAGTCCTTCCCGCCTTTGTGAGAGAGGCCCAGCTTGGGGGTTGGGAGGGCACTGATAAGGGGTTTGGGGTGTGCCCCTAGACTCAGTTGAGGGCCCCGTGCGCCCCATCCTGCTCTGGGTGCTGAGCTTGCCGATGTGGAGGAGACGGGCCTAGTCCCCAAGGAGCTTACCGTCCAGGAGGAGCACAGGCGCGCAGATGGGAGCACAGAAGGCGGGTGTGTGGCGGGGCCCAGCCTGAGGCGGCACATGAGGGGAGCCTTCCTCTGAACAGGGTGGGAGAAGGGCCTCCTGGGAGAGGGAGCCCAGTCGTCAGTGTTCACTGGGCAAAGCAGGGCTCCCAGGCAGAGGAGCATTCTCCAAGCACAGGCTGGGAAGTGGGGGGAGAGCAAGCGTGGGGCGCTGGGTGCACAGGGGCCCGGGGGAGTCTCGTGTGGGCCTCAGCAGTTGTATCCACATCCGTGTCCAGAACCCCTCTGACCCCCCGCTACCTCCCACCCCGGGTTCAGCTCCTGCCCACTCCCCACGCCGCTGCCTGGGGCGGCCGGGTGCTGCCGCCCGCCTCATCCTTCCCCCTGAGGTTCAGACAGAGGGAGACAGACAGCTCACACTCTGCAAGGTGAGGTCATCTCACTTTTGCCAGTTCTTGGAAAAATTATCCGTTCCCAGAAATGTTTATTAGTCACCCCTTTTGTTGAAAGACGTTTTGGCACCACCAGATGGAAAAATCCGAATGCTTCACAAGAGGATTCGTCTGAGCGCTCCTCCTCCGAGAGCCCGGAGGGGCACTGCCGAGGGCACAGCTCGAAGGGAGGTCCGTGGGCACCTGTGGGGGAGGCTGGGCGTGTTAGGCTGTGCGCGTTCACGTGTGCTTTTGGGGGGCCCCTGGCAGAGGTGGGCCTGGGGACCTAGGCGGGACCTCCGTTGGTAGCAACACACCCTGTGTGCCCTGGTACCTCCTGGGGCAGTGGAAACCCGAGGGAAGAGCCTGCCAGGCCAGTGCCTGCTCCCTGCCCTGTGGGCCCTGGACCGGGTACCTCACCGCCTGTGCCCTCATCCTGTGGAACCTCAGAGCACCGGGAG